GTGTTACCTAACATATCTAACATGTTGCAGTCAGCACAACATCAAAATCTGAGAATATAATTAATCTTATGCATAAGTTAGTTGGTATTGCTCAGTGACTGTGAGGTGAGCTCACCAGTGGGTGGCTTCTTCTCTGGTGTTGGGGGAATTTCACATTTAGTTTTACAATGACAAAGCTGTAGTCTGGTATGATGTAATAACCCTCTACATTTGTTCACTTGGGCGTACTTCTTGTGCACATACACTGATATTTTATCTATCTATCTATAAGAGGTTGGTGAGGCCTACTGTTGGGCATGGTGGTGGCAGTATCATGCCTACAAAAAGTAAATGAAATAATGAAGACATTCTTCAGGAAAACCTAAAATCATCAGCCAGAAAGGTTGGATGTTGGACACAGGTGGGTGTTCCAACAAGACAATAACCCCAAACACACATCAAAAGTAGTAAAGAAATGGTTAAATCAAGATAGAATTAAGGTTTTTCAGACTAGACTCTTTAAAGTCCTGACTTAAACCTCATCAAGAACCCACAGACTGTGATGAAGAAACAAGTCTGTGCCAATAAATGTAGTTAAAATGCACCAATTCTGTGAAGAGGAAGCTCAAAGATAGAACCAGAAGCGTGTGGACGGCGACCAGAACGCCGAGTGGAGGCAAAAATGACCAAAAGACATTTAACCAAATATTAGAACTGCTGTATGTATACTGCTAAGTCAATAGGTTTTGTCGTATTTCCAGAAAACCTACAATAAATCTATGAATGAGTCACTGGAAACTAAAGACTGCCATGATGTACAATGATGACATCATCTGTTTGAGCTGCTTCCATTATATCCTCTCCTGTGCTGCAAACTCCAGTTGTGCAGTAATTACAGAGGAGCCTGGATTTCTGCTCCTGTGTGTTTAGTCGGTGTTAATAAGCAGGTGTCAGGTAATAATCTGCAGTGAACAATGAAACTCTGTCCTCCTCCTCCTCCTCCTGTTCCTGCTGCTGCTGCTGCTGTCACTGCCTCCACGTCACAGTCCAGTCATACGGGAACTGTTTGAATGAACGGTGTCGGGAAAGACCCTGCTGCGGGTCAAAGCTGCTCCTCAGGCCGAAGGAGCCTCATCGGTCCTCGGCTCTGATTCACGCCTTCACTCCTGGCTGTTTTTTATGGAGCTCCGCGTTACATCAGAGCCGATTCCATCCATAATGCATGCTCAAATGGCGTCAACATGAGCTCACGGACCGGTCTGCGCTCCAGCTCCTCACGGCGCGCATGCGAAATGGCGTATGGTGCGTTCAGGGGCGGTGGGAAATCTCAGAATTGACATTAACCTCAGTGGTTTGTGGCCTGTGAAGCCTCAGGGTTTTTAAATCATATATATGTAGGACAAATGAGATTTATGTCGCATCTCCACAGTGATTAACAGAGAGAAAAATTATAGGGTCAATAAAAATTACATTACAAACGCAGCCAGAGATCATAAAACAGAGATAACATCAGATCATGCATAAGGGATCATAAAACACGATGATTAACGCTGATAATAGGGATCAAGAAGTCATCAAAATATGATCGGAATCACAATATCCAAGCTGCAGGAGCTGCAATTTTCCCGATGAAGAATAAAATGTGTCACAACATATTATAAATGAAGCACTGAAGTTGTACAGAGATGACCCAAAAATAGATAGATAGATAGATAGATAGATAGATAGATAGATAGATAGATAGATAGATAGATAGATAGATAGATAGATAGATAGATAGATAGACAGACAGACAGACAGACAGACAGACAGACAGATAGATAGATAGATAGATAGACATAAAAAAAACAGCACACTCCCATATACATAATAAAGAATATAAATATATAAAAAACAAACAAACAAAAATATAAACACATACAAAAGAATAAAAACAGACAGAAACTAAGGTGCATATTGTCTATTTATAAGAAGCAGCAGATATACATACAGTTAAAGTGCACGGTGGCTGGTGACACGTGTTCACTACAATGTTGAACTGGAACTTGAACAGCACTGATCAGTCATTGTTTGTGGTTGTACAGGGGTCTGATGGCCTGAGGAAAGAGACTGTTTGACAGTCTTGTGGTCCTTGACTTCACGCTCCTGTACCGCCTCCCTGACGGCAGCGGTGTGAAGAGAGTGTGTGCTGTGGGTGTGTGTGGTCTTTAATGATGTCGTGGCCTCTTCTGATGACCCTACTGGTGTACATGTCCTGTAGCAATGGGAAGGCCACTCCAGAGATGTTTGTGCAGTTTTTATTACACGTTGGAGGGCCTTCCTGTGATGGCACTGGTGAGCACACCCTCGACTGCACCTCTGTAGAAGTTGCCGAGGATTTCAGGAGGCATCCCAAATGTCCTCAGCCTTCTGAGGAAGTACAGCCGTTTGTGTGCTCTGTTTGACAAATAATATTGTCCAGACAGAGTTGAGTACAGTTTCTTAACTGACATTGCACAGTGTACAAATGAAGCAGCAATCAGGGCATTCACACAATCAGACCACATTTTAAAAGAAATGTGCACATAATTTAAACATCTAGTAGAAATGTGCATGTGCATCTTCTTTTAAAGATAGCTTGTTTGGTATATGACGAATTAGGTGTATGTTAACATGTGCAGTAAATAAATACAAGCGAGTAAAGATGTAGATGTGTCTTTGCTCATTTGGTAAGAAAAATATCATCTTTTCTATAGATGAACTAAAAAATGACAGATTCTATTAAACTTATGTCATTCTGTCCTGATTCCTAAAGGCCTTTCGATTAAAAGTAAAGCTGCAACTAACAGTTATTTTCATTGTGGGTAAATCTGTCGGTTACTTTCTGGATTAATTGATTAGTAACTCGTGCTATTAAATGTCAAAAAAACGCAGTGCATGACGTCCTCGAGTGTCATGATATTCGGCTTACTGTCACGGAGGAGGAAAGAAACCAGAAAATATTCACACGTCAGAAGCCTGAACCAGTAGATTTTGACCTTTATTCTTTTAAAAAATTACTCCAAGTGATTAATCGATTATCTAAATAGCTGACATTTAAGTCAAAAGTTGACGACTAGTTGATTAATACCTGCAGGATGAGATGAAAGAATGAGCTAAGAAGAGTTTACTCTGGATTTCATTATGATAAATCAATACATTGCTCGTTTTTTGAAGAAAACATGGTAACTAGATTGAATAATTTGTGCTTAAATTCTAAATGATTAAAGACAATAATTATTTCTGCCTTCAATGTCTAATTTAATTATGAGGCAGTTGTCATGTGCTGGTGGTGACGACAGTCAGGAGGTTTGTTCCTGCTCATGCATTTTCTTTTTTCAATTATTACTATTATTTGTATGTTTATCAGTAGATCTGACCTCAAGCAACCAACAGTGAAGCCTGTTTCTCATAGAACTGGAGTTCCATCCACTAACTGCCGTTTTTCTGGCAGAACTTTAGAGCAGAATAGAGTTTTTTATTTATTTATGTATTAACAGTGACATATTGCATTTTTATGTCTTCTTGATTTATTGGATGCCTTCAAATATCCAAACTATCACACTGAACATCTACAATACACCAGATTAAGGTTTAGTATGTCCCAGTACATATTACATCTGATGCAGTGGGAAAAAAAATAGCAGGATGTCCAACTGCACCTGGTTGGATTTTGCAGTATGAAAGCCAACATGCTTTTCTTCTCATTCTGACCCACAATCCTCTGTTTCACTTCAGTGTCTTGCACAAGAATAAACAAGACCGCCATGGTTAAAATTCAAGGTGCATGAGGAAGTATACGGTCTGTGGTCTCAACTGTACGCTCGAAAGAGCAATTCAAGTTAAATGAATGATTGTAAGATGGAACAAAAACAACAAATTTACTAATTTAGATAAACTTTATAAGTTGCAAAGAATATTTTGATGGGTTGTGTTGATATAATAATGCTGCACCAACTTAATGTCATGTGTAAGTTAAATATTAATCGGTTTAAAACAAAACTCAAGTTGAGTTAAGGTCATGAAATTGGCTTGATAACGTTATTTTTCTTCACCTTGACTTCAGGATTTAAAGCCAACTTCTATAATTTAACATATCTAGACAATTTCTGACAAGTAATTAAAACTATTTTGAATATGTGAATAAAAAGCGACTTCCTCTACATCAGTGTAGTCTGTTGGTTTAACATAACTTCATTAGAAGTTGTCGCATTTCAAAACAATTAGATTGTAATTTTAAGTGTATGCATACGATATGACACAATACAATACTATATGACACAATAAGCCTTTTTTTAACGTCACAGTAGAAAAAACTGCATAGTTATAACATCAAAGGGGATAAAAATAAACCCAGAACATCCATAGTGCCAGTTCAGATTGTCCAAATTCCCCTGGATGTGGGAATAACAATATTGCACATGTTGATAATGTTGCACAGATTGAGTAGAAATACTGATAGAGAAGTATTCATATTGCACAAGTTTGTCCATAAGTAGAAAAATAACAATACTGCACAGATTCTAGTGTTTGTAGAAAAACTGGTATCGCAAAGAGTTTTTAAATGTACAAAATATTCAGAATTCAAAGCTTTGAATGCATCATTTTATGGTCAAATGTTGTAAAAGAACTTGTTATTTACAGTTGCAGTCGGGTTTTTATGTTTAAGATGTAAATTAATACTTTTTTCTGTGGCTTTTTGGGGTATTTTAGCAAAACAAGACTAAAAAAAATGCATAAAATTAAAGTAAATCGTTTTTTTTAAATGTTGTTTTTACAGTGAGCTTAACCTAAGACCTTAATCTGTCTAATTTAAATGAACTATCCTGCAGGCTTAATAGTTCTGGAGCTTAATCTGACTAACAATGCTGCTGATCTCTGCCAGGCCTGCCCCCTGAAACCAGCCTGCATGGCGCATGTGTGAGACGTCCGAGCTCCTGGCGGGTCCCTGAACGCAGCAGCAGTGTGTGTGAGCGCTGTGGAGGAAGTGGCGGCTGATCTGGGTCCGCACCTTTTCCGGTAACACAGCACCGAGCGGCCGGAGAGAGAGAGAGCGGCGAGAGGGAGGCAGAGCGCGGCAAGAGCGGGGAGAAACGGCCCGGGGTCCGGGGGATGATCGCCGCAGACGCAGGTACGTTCGCCGCTCCGCACCGTGTCCGTGTCGGCTGCGCGTTTCCGTGCGCACCGACAACATTTTGTCGGCTCCAAAGTTGTCCTCTGGACTCACACCCCTCCCTGCTCTGTGTCACAGGGGGGAACGCGAGAGAAAGTCGGCCGAATCAATGACCTTTTGAGGGCTCTTCTTCTTCTGGATGTCCCGCCGCAGACACGCACCGGAGAGCTTCGACTGTGGCGCGTTTTGGTGAGAAAACCCGCGGCCGTGTGAGATCCATCGAGCGGGAGAGAGGACAGCCGGCAGCCGAGGAGGAAGTGGGAACCCCGGGCTCGGACTGGGCCTGATTTGGCAGAAGCAAAAAAAAAAAAAAAAAAGGAGAAAAAAAAAAGAAAAAGCCCCTGTGTGTGTGTCAGATCCAGCAACACAACTGGATTCAGCAGCTCACGTGTGGATTTTTTTGAAGGAAATCTGAGCTCAAGTTCAGAACAAGTGGATGTGATTTTTATCTCAGTGGATCATGAACATAAATCCACACCCAGTTTTTCATTCATACAGCTGCCAGTGAAGCTCAGCAGCTCAGGTCACCACCAGTCCAGATAATTGTAACTTGAATATAGTGTGAGGCCTCCAGCAGCTGCACACTTTGTGTTCAACTTTCTTTTTTGGTTTTTCCCTCACTCTCTCATTAGAGAAGTCCTCGCTTCTTTTCCTTCTCCTAACAAAGTATTTATGCACAGCAAACAAGATGGGGAAGATGCTCTCCAAGATCTTCGGCAACAAGGAGATGAGAATATTGATGCTTGGACTTGACGCCGCCGGGAAGACCACCATCCTGTACAAGCTGAAGCTGGGACAGTCGGTCACCACCATCCCCACGGTGGGCTTCAACGTGGAGACCGTCACCTACAAGAACGTCAAGTTCAACGTGTGGGACGTGGGCGGCCAGGACAAGATCCGGCCCCTGTGGAGACATTACTACACGGGCACCCAGGGCCTCATATTCGTGGTGGACTGCGCCGACAGGGACCGGATCGACGAGGCCAGGCAGGAGCTCCACCGGATCATCAACGACCGGGAGATGCGGGACGCCATCATCCTCATCTTCGCCAACAAGCAGGACCTGGCCGACGCCATGAAGCCCCACGAGATCCAGGAGAAGCTGGGCCTGACGCGGATCAGGGACAGGAATTGGTACGTTCAGCCATCGTGCGCGACGTCGGGGGACGGACTGTACGAGGGCCTCACCTGGCTTACCTCAAACTACAAATCCTAATACCCCCCTCCCCTTCATCCCACATCGTCACCAGCCTGGACACTCGGAGGCAGAAAAAAAAAAAAAACGTAGCTGAGGATTCAAGAAAAAACAAAACACAAAAAAAAGCAAATAAACCCACGACCTCTCTGCTGAGTATCAAAGAGAGTAGCAGTTATATTTTTCTTTATTTTTCCACTATAACCCCAGATTTCATTTAATTTTCTTTCTCACTCTGTATAATCTGTTTAAAAAGAAAATATCCAATACTTTTCTGCTTTTTCTATGATTTCTCTTAATTTTATTTTTATTTTTATTTTTAAAGGGGCTTTTATAGCTTTGCTCCAGCTGCATATCCAAAAGGACGAGACGAGTCCAGAAAACAAACCATTTGCCTACATCAGCATATCACGGCTCCAACTGCCTCTGTAATATGTCAGAATGTGTTTCATGGATCTGTTAGGACCTTAAAAACAAACAAACCTTTCATAATCGATTGTACTGGGATGAATGAGTGTTTTCTCCTGTTGCATCCATAAGACACTATGTGGACGCTGGATATTCACACACACTGTGATATGGATATATATTTTTTTGTTGTTTCAGGGTCTTTTTTTTCTTTTTTCTTCCTCCCAGAGCTTCCATTTTACTGTTTTTTGTAGTTTCAGCTGCCTTATATAGATGTAAGAGAAGAAGGGTGACCCCCCTACCTACAAGAAATCAAGAAGTTGCTCTCAGCTGCTGCACTTTGGGAGGTAAAACGGAGCAGGTGGGGAGATTTTAACTAGCTGGCTGTGCACATTTTCATGATTTTTGACTTTTGGACCCCAGCAAGTGTTTACGAAATTCCCAACCTCCCCTCCCCTCCCCTCTGGCCTCCACCACCGGCCTCCCAGTGCTTCAGACTGCAGCCCTCCTCTTTTAGTTCCTTTATTTCTTCGACCATCTTCTTCTTCTTCTTCTTCTTCGGCCTGTAAGGTCCCACCAGCTCTCTGTTAATCACCGTTTTTTCTTTTCTTTTCTTTTTTTTTTTTGCTATGCTGATGGAATAATAAAAAAATATATCCAGATCAGACGTGGTGCCTGTTTCAATGAGCGGCCGGCTGCAGCTCGTAAAAGAGGAAACGAGAGTTGGTGACGGCTGAGAGGAGTGTGAGGTGAAGTGAGCCTCCCTCGTTCTGTTTCCTCTTCTGCTGTGTGACTCATTTGCTGTGAATAAGTGATGAGAGCTCTAGTTTCAGAGTAGTGATTGTCAGGTGCTTTTGCCAAAGGTCTTAAAGTATCACTTCAGTCCATCAGGGCGCCACAAAGGCTTTTTTTTTTTTTTTTTTTTTAATCACAAAGGAAGCAAACAGTAGAGATAAAACTGAATCTGTAAGAACAGAGGAAGGTTCACTTCATTTTACTGCATTCTGGGGATTTTTATGCACCAATTTGTGCCTTTTTCTGCCTCATTTTAAGCTGCAAATGTCTTTATTTATAGGCAAAATGGGGACAATTCACAATATATATGGATATAGTTATGTACAAGCTCATCATTTATATTTTTAAGTTAACAGGCATCGTTTAGTAACGTTATTACTGTAGTTAATTGCTATAGTTATTAATCCCACTGTAAAAGTTTTTTTTTTTAACAGTTTTCGAAAGCAGTTTTAAAAACTATTTCCTGATATTTTACAGATTTTTCCCAGTTTGTTAAATTTAAAAAAAAATCTAGTAAAACCACCTAAAAAAATATTTTTAAAAAGTTGTCTAAAATTGTAAATAACATCCACCTCCAAAATTATATATATATTTTTTTATTGTGATTGACTGTAAAATAACACAATTTTTATGGTATTTAAATTAGAAAAAAATAAAGATATTTGCCATTATTTAAAAAGAAAAAAATGTATATTAAAATAAGTATTAAATATAAGTATTTATTGTTATTTTATATATTTTTCCTGTTCTGCTAAATTACTGAAAATATAATAAAATAAAAAAACAAGTCTGAATTTAGATGTCAACTTAAAAAAAACATATATATATATAATTATTTTCTTTTTAAACATTATAATATTCCACCATTTCTTTTCTGATTTAGATTTGACTTTTTAAAACTATTATTTTATTTTTTACAATGGTTTTTGCCATCATATTAAATTAGGTGAGTCTCCATAGTTACTTTTAATTAACTAAACTAATTTTATTTCCTTACATGTAAACTGCTCAGGAGGAATCACACCATCAACACCACTAAAGGGTCCCAACCCCAATACTTACACTTATCAGGTTCATTTGTTTTGCCAGTTACATCCATTGTTGTCCTAAATGTTTAAATAACTCCACTTGCAAATGTTTTCTAAACGTTGTGGTGGACGTTTCCTCTGCGTGGTTCACCCGCCAACATCTACAGGAACACTTCAACGCCACAGTTTGTGCTGCAGACTTCTGCTTTCATTCATACTCCTGATAACAATCTGGGAACTTCTCCCACCAGCAGACACACACTTTGTGTTACTGAGGAGCTCGTGTAGCTGCTGATGGCACCGAGGCGGCCTCACCAAAGGGCTTTGGCAGCCTGGCGCTTTGCCCTGAGTCGCCCTGAGGCACAGATCTGAGATCAGGCCTCCATTTCAAAGCCCTTTTTCTCCTTTCGACTCCACCTGCTCGCCGTACAGCGTGAGAAGCGCGGCTGCTTGCTTCCTCTGTGCGCGCGCTGCAGGAGGAGGCAGCGGTGACGTCAGCGTGTGAAGTCAGGAAACGCTCGAACGGCCGTTGTCATGGAAATGGGTGGTTTAGCTGCGAACGAAAACAGGTTAACAACAAACAGGTTTATCCCTGCAGCCGGGCCGACGGAGCAGGACGGCGGCTGATGTCCTGGAAAAGCTCGCGTTTGTCAGCGTGCAGGAATCCCCCCCTGCAGGAATGTGTGTGTGTGTGTGTGTGTGTGTGTGTGTGTCTGTTTGCTGTGTGAAGTTTGACCTGTTGCTGAAGGACGGATGTGACAGTGGATGATCTCACCTGACGCTGCTCTCACATCCCTACAGTGCATTTTTCTGCAATTACAAGCAGCGTTCAGATCCTTCAGAGTCTACTCTCAGTATGCAGCCAGTAAATAAGCTGTCTGGTCCCTGCAGGTGTTTCACTGTTAAAGTCATGGTTCTGCATTCATGCTTCTGCTGTAGAGGTTCAGGTTTGAGCTGATTTAGCTACTTTAGGGCGTTTAATGTGCAGAAATTCATGATATTCTATCAGATTTAAGGCTGAAATGAGCGATTATGTTCATTGTCAGTTAATTTCTGGGCTAATCGATGAGTTGTTTGGTTTAGAAAATGGTGAAAACTGTTCATCAGTGTTCCCCAAAGAGCAAAATAGCATAAAATATTCAGTTTACCATCGTAGAGGAGTTTTAAAAATTGCATAACTTTTAAGAAGATGAGTTTATTTTCTCACTAAAACCGATTAATCTGTTATAAGGGGCGCTGTTCATGCTGGCCGACCCGACAGCTCTCCCTCCTGTTGGGACGCGATGTAACTGTAACTAACCCCCTACCAAAGGGATCAATAAAGTTTCATCTAATCTAATCAGCTATCAAAACAGTTGGTGATTACGTCAGTGGCTTACAACTAATAGATTAATATCTACTTTCTATGGAATCAGACAAACAGCCCTGTTCTCAGCCTGTTCCAACAAATCCAGAAGGTTTATTTTAAAACACTTAATTTAACTTGAAAATAGGATCATATTCTCAACAATTAAAGAATGATTCATCCTTGAGTTTGTCTCAAACTTTCAGAATCACCACAATTTGCAGATACATGCAGGATAAGTGCAGAACTGTCATCTGAAGTCTAACTAAAGCTGTCAGACAGACGTAGTGGAGTGTAAAGTACGATGTTTGTCTCAGAGATGTCGTGGAACAAAGATGTAAAGTTGCATTAAGTTACAACACGACAGGTGTCATCACCATACCGACTAACGGAGCATTCAAACTACATATTTAAATGTTTATTTGACTAAACTTTGTCTTTTTGCGTCTCTGCATCTTCATTACACACATCATTAAAGGACATTTTCTCAGTTTTCTCTCAAACTCTGAGCAGGAACTCTCCACTTCAGTAGCACCAAACATTGGATTTTTACCCCTGTGTCTGTATTCTGAAGGTTTATGCAAAGAGATTTGCTCAGATATCGTTCACAGCCTGATTTATAGAAGATTTCATTCATGAAAATAGTAAAAATGTGTTTTTTCTGGATCTTGACAGTATTTTTTCATATATGGGGTAATGAAAAAAATCTCTCATAACCTTTTAATTTTTATCTAACATTCAGATTTCTGTTCAAGGGTAGACAATAATTCATTTGCATATTTAAACTTTCATTTCAGGACAACTTGTGATGCAAAAAAAATGCCTTTTTGTGAATAATCAACTTATTCAGCTGCAGTGTCTCTATTTAAAGGGAAATACTTTAACCTTACATACTGTTTGGGGTCAGATTTGACCCGCTGGGACATTTGACAGCAGTAAAAACACTCTAAACATCAATATTTTAGCCTGAAATTTGAGGACTTCTCCTAAAGTGACCCAAAATACCCCAAAGTATTTCATACTTTTTTACAGGTGCTACAAATGTTTGCACGCTGAGGTTGTTTGGGGTCAAATTTGACCCACTGAGATGGATTTTAGATCCACCAGTGTGGGTCAAATCAAGGAAAATGGTGGTTTTAGGGGAATCAGGAAACTGTGAAACTGTACAGACCATTTTTAAAAAACTTTTTATTCACATTTATTAACGTGACATAGGCTGTTTAGACATTCTGGATAGATCTGTAGTTTCAGATTTGGTGCTATATACAGTTTGTAAGGGTTAAATAAACTACAAATACCTCAAATTTGTACAAAAGTGCAGTTACATTCCAGCCCTGGAAGCAGGAGTTGCAGGAATTTCCTGCAGTTTGGGAACGTGCTCTGAAACCACGGTATTTGAACAGCTGAGGGCCCGGCAGCGTCCAGCGTCCTCTTGTTTACTTACGACTTTCCGTCCTTTTCGCTCGTCATTGTGGAAAAATCTACAAATGCATTTTTTTCTGTGTGTGTGTTGTTTTTCTCTCTCTCTCTCTCTTTCTCTCAGGAGAGGAAATGTGGAGCGGGAGAGCAGTTTGAAGCAGCTCCTGATGTTACATCAGCG